ACTGAAAATCCTAATCAATTTTTATGTAAACTTAAAACCGTTGTCTTTTGAAAAAATGAAGACGACAGATGCATTACAATTCAGCCCTTTTTTACTGAAACAAGACAGCTCTCATTCAACTGACTTCAAGATATTCTTTTTGCAAGATGGGCCCTGAGCTAACATCTGTTGCCAATCTGTTTTTCTTCTTCTTCTTCTCCCAAAAGCCCCCAATACATGGTTGTATATTCTAGTCACAGGTCCTTCTAGTTGTGCCATGACTTCAACTGATCTCAGGAAGCCAGTCTGTGCTCTAGGAGCCTGAGATCCACAGGGGAGGGGAAACTTCCATCGAATGCCTTGTTGGGGAGCACAGCACTGGATCCTCTGAAAAGTGCCATGGTCACTATCAGGAGTGGCAGAACCCCAAGGTGGATGACGAGTGTCCTGCTATTGTAGACCTATTAGTGTACATACAAGTGTGACTCTGACTTCTATTTTGAGGATCTCTGAGTCAAGAGATTTCCAGAGTTCTTTTCCCACAAAGGGGCAAGACAACTGGTTGCTTTATAGAGTTCAAGTGCCTGGGCTTAAGTTGGGTTGAAACAATCCCTTTGCTCTGACAAAGTCAGACTGTGGTGTTGTCACTATAACCCAGAGGGTCAGGGTCTTTGTTGCAATAGACCCTCTGTTGCAGCAGAAGAGTGACTTAGGGGCCCTGGGGAGCCCTCTGGAATCTTGCTTCCTACATGCTGCACTTTCCTGTCCCTTCTTTCTCTCTGAAATAATTGCTCTTGAAGGAGTGACCATCTGATGGGCTCAGCTAAATGACAGGGTACAATCTGCCTCATAACCGCAGACTCCCCCTAATGTCAAGGCGACTCCAGCCTCAGTCTCCCCTTCACTTTCAACACACAAACACATGCCACCCAAGACAGTGACAGAAGATCACATTAAGGAGGGCCTGATTCCCAGACTCCTGCTCTCAGAGGACAGGAATTTCCAAAACTGCCAACTCAGAGTCCTCCACAGTTAGAACCCAGGCTTGGTGGGGTCAACAGTGCAGCACAGGGCAGCACAGCGCCCAGGAGGAGCTGCCCAGCAAGCAGCAGCCCACAGTGCAGGAGCCTCCAGGCTTTCTCATCAGCCTGTCCAGGGAAGGAGGCCCAGGGGAAAGAGAGGGTGAGGCTTAAGTGTTCAGTCATCAAACATCATCAGTACCAAACCCTCCCATTCATTACAAGAACAAACTTGGGGGAAAAAAATAGGCATTCGCACTGGCTTGTTTTTATATAAAGAAACACTAGCAGGATGGTGAAGCAGTGAGCAAAACTGGTCATGTAGGGAGGCTGGAGTCAGAGCAGAGGAGTGGGGCAGGATCACAGGCAGGGAGTCTCCTTCAGTCAGTTTCCTCTCTTACGAATTTTTTAAACCTTCCCACGCACTACTTATTTCAAATAAGGGGAGACACGGGCTGGCCCAGTGATACAGTGGTTAAGGGCACATGCTCTGCTTCAGAGGCCTGGGCTTCACCAGTTTGGATCCTGGTCATTGACCTACGCACCTCTTACAAAGCCAGGCTGAGGCAGGCGTCCCACATATAAAATAGAGGAATATGGGCATAGATCCTAGCTCAGGGTGCATCTTCCTCAAAAACATAAAATAAGGAGAGATTTATATATGCCATATTTTCCTATGTTTGATCACAATTTTTAAATAACTTTTAGCTTTAACATTTCGACATAGGAAACCATTCCAAGATTTAATCCTTTAAACACTAATGGACATAAAACTGTAAAACATAAAAAATTTACCAAGCTCTTTCCAACAAAAAAGACAAGGGGCATTTTCTTTTGTGCCTCCACTAGATTTACCCAGGAATAAGACTGACCTAAACATGGAAAATGTACCTGAGAACTGACATACACCCATCGCACATCTTGAGGTTCTCTTGTCTAAATGGGAAAACATTGTTTGTTTCCACAAATTTTTGCCTCAGTCACATCATATCTCTGAAATTACATTTTCAAACCCCAAGTGGAAATGGGAACTAGAATCAGAGGACTGCAATCTTCAACTGATAAAGGAACCCGAGGACAGAAACAGGAATATTCCACTCAGCTCATGGAAGCAGCCTGCTGGCCTGCAGTTCAGAAGGAAACCCACACTCAGAAAGGGACCATATTCCCAGACGTGAGGTGTACACTCTCCCAGTGGAGACAGATCCCCTGGAGAGGGTCAGTCCCTGGAGAAGGGGGGTGGGGACCCCTGAGCAGCCAAAGGAATGGACTCTGGGAGCCCCACACACTCTGCCTCTCCTGTAAGCATGGAGGCACTGCCTCCCTCAGGCTCGCACTCTCACAAGTGAGGAAACCTCATCTGTATTCAGTTTAAGCTTCTGACCCACATGAACTCCAAATTCATGAACCCTTTGTCCACAGGATGGAACACCTGATCTTCACAGACTTTCTCACAATGCACAGATTACACTCTCAGTGCACCTACAGTGTGGGTACAAAAAACAAACAATGTCTAAAATGTCCAGACACAACCACAACCTCAGAAAGGGCATCACTCCACACCCCATGAGCATGTGCACCCCCAGCTTTCCAGGGCTCTGCAGCTCCTCTCAGGATAAAGGCTCCTACCACGGGGGTGTGAGCAGTAGGACACCTTCAGGGGAGGCCCCCCAGTAAGGACAACTGGGCCTTCAAGGCCTTCCCTCTGCAGGCCCAAGGGGGCCTTAGCTTGTGTCTTGGACTGGGGGCCTCTGCTCCCCACTGGAGATGCTCTGGAACGGAACATCATCATTATTTTAAATCACACAAACCCAGTGCTGGAACAATCCAGCAAAATCACTTAAACCCAGTCCTTCCACAGAAAATAAGGGAAAAAATTATATGGCATTTCTACCACTTCAACTAGAAAAGCACAAATGTCTATTCCTTTAAGAAAAAATGTGAGTTGCTACTGTTACTGACCGAGGGCTCGCCACCTGATGCACAGAGAAGCTGAGACCATGGCACACCAGGCTTTGAAAGAAGAAACAGTTAACTGTGCCATCGACTGGCCAGGAGACAGGAGGACAGGCTGTCAACTCTGTCTCCCTCATCCAAAGCGAGGGCTGAGGCTTAAGGGAGCAGGGAGGGCCGGCTGGGATGCAAAGCAGGGTGAGGTCAGACTGGCAGATCAAAACTTTCTCTTCTGCACAGGCTCCTGGCTGGCGGCAGCCTGTGACAAAGACCTTTAACATCCTGCTGTTAAGATGGGGTTACTGGTGGGAGGTTAGCAGGAAAAGCACGGTGAACAAGGGGCAAGTTGTCATGCAGATTTAACTCATTGCCTTCTCCACTGGTAAGAGTTTCTAGAGATCTAGAGTCATCCTGCCCTTCCTGGCACACAGAGGGAGGCACGCTTACAAAGGGACGTTTCTCTTAGAATGTAAATTTCCCTTACAAAAGGGTAACTTCTACTAGGTTTTCAGAGCTTTCCCTGTGTCTGCTGCTCTTTAATAATCATCAGCTCAGAATAGCCCTTATGCCAAAGACGCATGAATCGGGATGACAATTCTGTTTTTGGTCCTGTGGTGACATTATTTCCATGACAAGAAATCACACTTGAACACTTGTGGTTTGCAGGTCTCAGCCAGGGAATCTCCTTTGGAAGCATCCAAAAGTAAGGAACACACCTCAGAAACTAACGACAGACACTCAAGGGAAGAGACAGTGAACCAGGTATTCTTAACAAATGGAACGCAACAAAGGAGTATTACATTTTTTTCTGAAATTCAGCTCCTTGTTGCCTGTCTGGAACTACTTTATAGTGTCTTCCAATCTCTACAGATTAAATATATTTACCCTTCTTCCAAAACGGACACTTAAATAAGTGAATAATTGGGGCTGGCCCCGTGGCCCAGCAGTTAAGTTCGAGTGCTCCGCTGCAGGCGGCCCAGTGTTTCGTTGGTTCGAATCCTGGGTGCGGACATGGCACTGCTCATCAAGCCATGCTGAAGCAGCGTCCCACATGCCACAACTAGAAGGACCCACAACGAAGAATATACAGCTGTGTACCGGGGGGCTTTGGGGAGAGAAAGGAAAAAAATAAAATCTTAAAAAAAAAAAAAAAAAAACCAATAAAACTGAACCACTTTCTAAAAAAAAGAAATAAGGGAATAATTTTTTCTCGTTCACAAACCTGGGGGTGTGTGGCAATGCCAATGGCACAGATCACCCATGACATTTCTCCAAGGGGAACCCCCACCCAAAGGACTTGCCATGGGATGTCTGGGCCCAGATGATCCGGGGAGAGGCACCAGGATTTCCTACAGTGTAGTTCCCAGTGCTTATTCTCTGCTTTCCTCTCATGTAAAATATCCACAGACAAATATAATCTTGAAAGTAGAGCCATCCAGGGCTCTAGGGCATAATGATAAGAATTTAAAGTATTGAGTCTGTTTGAAATGCGCCATGGAGGACAAAGTGTTCATGAGGATCCTGTGAATGAAAGAGGGGAAGTGGCTTTGGGAGGCCGGGTAGGCATCTGAAAATTTACGGATTTACTGTCAGCCCCAGGCAGAGCAGCCTGTGGGGAAAGGACTGTGGATTGAGACGCTGCTCCCCAAACATTTGGAAAACTCAGGAGACAACGGGGCCCCTCTGAGGAGAAAGGAGGCCCTGGGGACCACAGACCGCAGCCCCTCCCCGCACGGACCCGGAGACCGAGGCCCGACTGTCCTGCGGACCCTCCCGCGGGCCCCGCACCGTCTGGGACACGCGGGGCTGCGGCCGCACAGCGGCCCAGAGACGCTCCGGCCCAAGTCGCCGCGCGCAGGGACCACAGGACGCCCGGGGCCTGGCTCCCGGCCCCGCCCCCACGCTGCGGCCCGAGGGGCCTGAGGGCCGAGCGGCGCCAACGCGGACTCGGGGCCGCAGACCCCGGAGGGGACCGCGGGAGGCCGGGCCCGCCCCGCCGCTTCCCACCAGCCCCTCCTCCCGGTCCTCACCCCGGGGCCGCACACTCACCATTTCTAGGGCTCCTGGGTCCCCCGAGTCCTTCCTAGGACCCACAGGACAGGCGCAGGTAAAAGCCTGAGAGAAGCTGCGGCAGAGCCACCCGAGAGCAGCGAAACAGGCAACACGCGATTCTGAGCCCGGAACCAACCAGACGTCCACGCAGCTGCGCCGCGTAGCCCCACCCACAGCCCCAGCGCTGCCCCTGATTGAACAGTTCCCGAGGACACGCCCCTCCCGAGGAGGCTGGGCTCAAGGGACACACCTTCCCCAGCTGGGCCAGAATCTGTCCTTTCTCGCTCATTTGCATTGAAACAGGACTCTTTCCAGGCCTGGGGCTGACTGTGCTCTCCCCGCAGCTTCTGTAAGACGACTTGTTGCAGGTGTGCACAGGGAATCCCTGATTCAGTTTCAAGAAGGAGCAAGTACAACTAGAGGGTGGCCAACACCAGGACACACTGGAAAAGAGGCTCTTCGGTCCTCTAGGGGTCAAGGGCTTGGCGTAAGGCTGCGAGGCCACTCGTGGAACTGTGACCCTTGTTTACAAAAGCAAGACACTTAAACGTGACCTCCCCAGCTGGGATCAAGTGTCTGGCCCCATTTTGATCTTTCCGCCTTCCAGCGATCAGCATTCCCACCATCCCCGCCCCACCCCCACTCATTTGCTTCTTAGGATATAGAATCCCGGGGCCCTGGGCTCCGTTGGGAAGTTGGAACCCCACAGCCCTAGCGGGGGGCAGGGACTCTTCTCACCAACCGCAAGCAACGAGATGTGGTCACCAAATTTCCAACTGTACGTTTTCCACTGGAAGGAAGTTTCTCTTGGATCAATTTTTTCCTGTGTCCCTCGAGAACTTTCAAATGTAAACCGAGTAATATCCCTCAAGCAACTGATTCCCATTTTCAATTCTATATTGTTATGCAAATGTGGGATGCCACCGGAAACTCTTCTCCCCACCCCCTCAGCTTTAACGAGGTATAATTGACTAATAAAAGTGTCGGTAGTTAAAGATTACAACAAGATGATTTGATAGACTTTTTCTGTATTGTATAATGGAAATTAGCTGAGAGAATGGCTCTTAAACATTCTCACCACACACACACAAAAGCTAACTGAGGTAATGGATGTGTGAAGTTGGAAATTCTTATATGCCTGGATTTTGGAACTTTACTGATTTATTTACTTCAACAGCTTTCTCGAGATGTAATGCATAGACTGCACAGTGCACCCTCTTAAAGTGTACAGATACGTGCGATAATCACAACAGTTTTTCAACATTTTCATCCCTTCAGAAAGAAACTCCTTTGCCCTTTAGCTATCGCTTGATGAGTGGTGTGGACGTTCACATCCGGGATCTGAACCTGGGAACCCCGGGCTGCTGAAGCAGTCTGTGAACCCAACCACCACACCACCAGGCCAGCCCCAGTCTCAGGAAAGTTTTAACCTTCTCATTCATTATTTATTGAAAATGAGAAAAGTGTTTATACTCCTTAATTTCCTATTGACCATCATGTTTAATTGACTTTTCATATTTAAAGTTAATTTGATTTTAACTTGTCTAGAGAGAAACCACTCCAAGACTTAATCCTTTAAACACTAACAACCCTCGTACACTGCTGCTGGGGGTGCGGGCTGTGCAGCCACTGTGGAAAGCAGTATGGATTTCCTGTATGGACTTACCAGGTGAGCCAGCTGGTCCACTGCTGGGTGTTTATCCTGGGAACTTGAAAAGACAAATGCATCAAGATACCTGCACCCCTGTGTTCACTGCTGCATTATTCACGGTGGCCGGGACTTGGAGCGGACCTAGATGCCCATCGAGGGACACACAGATAGGGAAGATGTGCTGTGTGTACGCAGTGGAGTGCTGCTCTGCCAGGAGAAATGAAGGGACAACATGGATGGACCTTCAGGGTGGCAGTCAGTGGGGCAGGGTCAAGTGCCATATGATCTCACTCATAAGTAGAAGACGAAAACAACAAACACACGGCAACAGAGATTACGTTGGTGGTTGCCGGGTCGGGGGGTGACGGGAGTGACTGGGAACACCTGTGGTGATAGACTATAATTGGTCTTCGGATGGCCAACATGATGTCATCCACACAGAATGCAAAATATATTACGATGTGCACAGAAAAAAATAAATATATATGGAAAAATAAACTTAAAATAATTTTAAAAACACTAATAAAACTGTAAACATTAAAAAAACTTACAAAACGCCCATGTTTTATTTTAAAGATTGCCACCCAGGCTAACAACTGTTGCCAATCCTTTTTTCTCCTTTTTCTCCCCACGGTTCCCCAGGAGATAGTTGTATATTTCAGTTGTGGGTCCATCTAGTTGTGGCATGTGGGACGCCGCCTCAGCATGGCACAATGAGCAGTGCCATGGCCTCAACCAGGATCTGAGCCTGCGAAACCCTGGGCCGCCGAAGCACAGCAAGCAAACTCAACCACTCGGCCACTGGGCCAGCCCCACCAAACCCTTTCTAACTAAAAGGACAAGGGCATTATCGTTTGTCCCTCCACTATATGTCACACTGGGGATATTTTCAGGAACAAGTAGCATATTATAACACATTGGGGTGTACAATTAAGCCCTGTGATAAACTAGGAATTCCAAATATCTACATAAGCTTTGACCTGTTTCCTCCTCTCAATGAAAACAGAAATTCAAGGACTTTCCCTTCACATCCAGTAAAGTAGGAATTCATCTGCCTGGGTGTACAGAGTTCACAGACCTCCCCGCCTTCTAAGGACACTGGGCCTGGGCCCTACACGAATGAATGTGGCTGGGCTCGGGGCCAAAGGTGGCCACTTCAGCCCTGACTCTAAGGCACAAGTTACAAAGAATATGTCCTGCGCCATGTTCCTTGTCTGGACTGGCCACCCCGACGGGCACCTGATGGGACTTTAGAAACATCCCATCCGTGGGAACAAAAAAGATAGAAGCACCCCATCCGTGGGAACAAGAAGAAATGACTTAAAGTATCCAAATGTCTGAAACCAGAGTCGGAACCCAGAGAAACCCTAGGATAAAGGGAGTCCCAGGCACATAACGATTGGGAGTGTCACTGAGGAAAGGACGCTTTGCCTCAGACTCGGACAATCGGCATCCCACCTGCCGTGCAAACTGTCGGGACTTCCCGGCTGACTGTGGTGTGGATGGTGTGAGTACCGGTTTGTTGTTTCCCTGTATCCCCGCTCCTCGTCCTGTTTCCCTTTATCAATACCCTCTGATTACTTAAACAACCAAGTACCCTGGGTGGTACCTGTCATTCCTTGCCCTGTGAGGCTGCCAGCAACGCTGAGGAATAGTATAGACTTTTTTTTTTAAGGAAGATTAGCCCTGAGCTAACATGTGAGCCAATCCTCCTCGTTTTTCCTCAGTAAGACTGGCCCTGAGCTAACATCTATGCCCATCTTCCTCGACTTTATATGTGGTACACCTACCACAGCATGGTGTGCCAAGCAGTGCCATGTCCACACCCGGGATCCGAACTGCTGCGCCACTGGGCCAGGCCTGGAATACTATTGACTTTTTTTTTTTTGAGTTCATAATAGTTTACATGAATGTGAGATTTCGGTTGTTCATTATTTCTTGACTGTCACCACATAAGTGCTCCCCTTCACTCCCAGTGCCCCGCCCCACTCCCCTTCCCCTGTTAACCACTGACCTGTTTTCTTTGTCCCAGTACTTGTTTATATTCCACGATAGTAAAATCATCTGGTGTTTGTCTTTCTCAGACTGCCTCATTTCACTTAGCATGACTCCCTCTAGCTCCTTCCATGTTCCTGCCGTAGACACTTTTAAGTGTCTTCTAAGGACATGGGCACACAAAAACTGACCTAAAATTGGAAGAAGCACCTGAAAACTTAAGTAAACCCATCTCACATCTTGAGGTGCTCGAGCCTCAATGGAACAAAAATTCTATTTGCTTCTATAATTTTCTCACCTGACTCACATCATCTCTATCAACTGACATTTTAAAACCCCAGGTGTGAATGGAAACTAGAATCAAAGGGCTGCAATCTTCACCTTATACAGGAATCCAAGGACAGAAACAAGAGTATATGAATCAGCTCACAGGAACTGCCTGTTTGCCTACAGTTCAGAAGGAAAACACACTCAGAAAGTGACTACATCGCAAATTAGGGCAGACACACTCCCAGTTGAGATGTAAGCCCTACAGTGCTTTGTGGCTGGTGAAGGAGGGTGGGGTCCCCTGAGAAGCCACAGGAATGGACTGTGGAGCCCCACACACCCTCCCTCTCCTGTGAGCATGGAGGCACTGGCTCCCCCAGGCTCCCATCCTCACAAGTGAGGAAACTCTCAGCCGCATGCAGTTTAAGCTTCTGACCCACATGAACTCCAAATTCATGAACCCTTTGTCCACAGGATGGAACACCTGACCTTCACAGACTTCCTCACTGTGCACAGATTATACTCTCAGTGCACCTACAGTGTGGGTGCAAAACTCAAACAATGTCTAAAATGTCCAGGCCTAAGGAACCACAACCACAGCCTCAGAAAGGGCATCACTCCCCACCCCATGAGCACGTGCACCCCCAGCTTTCCAGGGCTCTGCAGCTCCTCTCAGGATAAAGGCTCCTTCCATGGGGGTGTGAGCAGTAGGACACCTGCAGGGTGAGGCTCCCCAGGAAGGACAACTGGGCCTTCAAGGCCTTCCCTCTGTGGGCCCTGGGGGCCTCAGCTTGTCCCTGTCACTGCAGGCCTCAGCATCCCCAGAGGCTTTGGAACATCAAGTTTTTTTAAATGAAACAAACCCAGTGTTTGAAGAATCCAGCAAAATCACTTAAGCCCAGCCTTTCCATGGAAAATAGGGCAGAAAATTATAAGGCACTTGGACTACTTCAAGGAAAAACCAAAAATATTTATTCCTTTCAGAAAAAAAACATGCTAGTGAACTATTTCCATGGCAAGAAATCACACTTGACCACTTGTGGTCTGCAAGTCTGAGCCCTGACATTTCATTTGAAAACACCAAAAAGAAAGGCTCAGCCCTCAGAAACTGACTACACACGTTCAGGGGAAGAAAAAGTGAAATAGATATTCATAACAGATGGAATCTAACAGGAATATTTGATTTCTTTCTGAAATTCACCTCTGTTGCCGTTTGTAACTATCTCCTACTGTCTTTCAAGCTCTATTGATTAAATATATTTACCATTAGTGAACAAAGGAGAACTAAATAAGGAATCAATCTTTGCAAGTTCACAAAGGCAGCAGCAATGCCAAAAGGACACAACACCCAGGAAAGTTTCTTAAGTGGAAGCTCCAACTAAACGACTTCCCAAAGGACATCTGTGCCCAGAAACATCCTGGGGGGAAAGGCAGAATGATTGCATACAGCGTAGTTAATACGGGTATTTTCTGCCGTATTCTAATGTAAGACATCCAAAGAAACATAATCTTTTAAAAATAACCACCTAGGGCTCAAAGAAAAAATGATGCACAGTAAAATTTCCCGGTCTGTTTGAAATACCCCAGACCTGATGAATAGTCCCTAATCAGGCCATTAACCAGAGACAAGAAGTGGGGTTTGGGAATGTGGGGAGGGACCGGAAAAGTCAGGGACTTCCTGCCAGTTCTGCGCAGAGACAGGCTGGGGTACAGGATAGGGGATTTGAGAGGCTGCTCCCCAAACATTTGGAAACTCAGGAGAAAACGGATGCCCTGGGGGAGAAAGGAGGCCCTGCACAGCCCACAGACCGCGGCTCCTCCCACACATGACTCCTGGAGACTGAGTCACAACTGTCCCTAATGGCCCTCCCTGGGGTCACCACACAATCTGGGGAGATGGAGGCTGTGGGTGCAGAAGTGTGCAGAGAGCAGCTCTGGGGCTGAAGTCACCACATGCAGTGACAGACAGGATGCCCAGGAACCTGGCTGCCGGCTCAGCACCCACGTAGCAAGGGGGACTGAGGTTGGATCAGTGTCACCTGCAGACTCGGGGCCCCAGACTCCAGAAGTGTCCACAGGGAGGCTGGGTCCTGCTGTGGCCAGTGCCAACCAATCCCTCCTCCCCGTCTCCTCACCCCAGGGCAGTACACTCCCCATCTCTGGGTCTCCTCGGTCTCCCTGAGTCCTTCTCAGGGCTCACATGGCCAGTGCAGGTCACAGCAAGACAGACAGGGTGGCAGAGCCACCAGGGACCAGTAAGGGCAAGTGACTATGGACCCCAAGCATGACACGAACAGGAAAGGACCTCCAAGTCCCAGCACTGCATCACCCCAACCACATGCCCCAGGGGCTCCCCTGACTGGACAGTCAGGAAGGCCCCAGCCTCTCATGGATGAGTGAGTGTGGGGGAGGCTGCATGGCTCCAAGG